GAAAGAAAATACAAGCTTAACGACGGGCAGGCAATATAACCTCTATATACAACTGACAATTATTCCTTTCCCTTTTTTCTATGCTACATAACCAAAGAATATAATTCATTTAAATATAATATAATTTCTAACGAGTGGAAAGAAAAAAGTAAACAAATAATCGAGGAAACAATTATGTAACTACAATCAACGATTTAAAATCCCTTTTTACGCACACTACGAGTTTACTCGGCCTTATCTTATCGAGCGTCGGCCACGCTGCGTTCTTCTATTCTCGGCGGTATATATATGCGAATTGGACGCGTACACAAAGGCGGGAAGAGTTCGCGCGCACAGTTTACAACGAGACCAGCGCTGCGATCAGACATCAAAGCGGCTTTTGCCGCATATACATTACACGCGACGATAGTCAAGTTTCAAGGTTAAACGATAAATCGGTCAAATCAGGGTTATCACGAAAGCTTCTCAACGACACATCATTCCACTAATATTGTACCAGAAATGTCTACCATTTATACAAAACGTATCTAGAAAAATAGTATTATCATATATTTACGCCAAGTCTACATTTAAATTTATATTCGCAAAATTCCAAGAAACGTTAATTTTATTGTCGCAAAATCGTGGGTCAAGGCATTTTTTCCGTAGTTTTTACGTTCTGTCATAGATTAGTATATATTATGCAAATAGGATTAAGAGATAGGTTAATTATTGTTAAACGCATTTGCTTCGTAACACGACACAAATGTTAACGCATCTTTACTGTTCGCACCACCAGAGAACGCTGTATGGTTCTTGATGGTTTCAAAAACCCTCACGGAACTTCATTGAGCACTGGAAGCGAGCCAATCAGAGATCACAGTAGAAAGAGGGCGCGCGTTTACGCACGTCGACGCGTGCGAATGACGTCACAGCGTGACGTGTGCGTGCGTGCACGCACGATACGCCAAGCGATTACGGTGGATCGTAACAGAATAAAATAGTAATTCAGATGACGTTTCAGCAACATGCATCTTTTGTACCTTCCATTGGAAATTAATCCTCTAATTATGAAAATTGCTATATATTACATATATAATGTATATGAATGTTACGTTTCGCATTACGTATTAAATTTATGAACTGTGTTTTTAAATCGTGCACGTTATTTTTTACCGCATCCAAAATGGCCGATGTCATATTTTATTCCGTTACGAACAGTACCGAAATATCAACATAAAAATGAAATGTAAAGAAAACTATACACTTACAGTCTACTGCTGGGTTCGTTGCTTGCTTCGTCACCTTCGATTCGGTACACCATGCCGGACATCACGTATTCAAAACTGTCTGCTCTGGAACCGCCTTCCTGTTCCGTCGCGTTCCACTCCCCTCCATCTGGATAGCCGTCCTCTCTCAAGGTCGTTGCAAGAACAAGCCGGAATTTATCACCTAAAACAAAAATTACGAATACGCCACTGAAGGAAAAATTCGAAAAAATTTTTGACAAAAATATCCGAGTATTAAAGTGGTTTTGTATTTGCCTAAATATCAATGCGGAAAAATCCGCAGCGTCGGAACACGGAAATTGGTATCTAATAATAAACCTCAAGGCAACTGCATCGAAAATACACTGGGGGCGTTGCAGACGTTTCGCTACGTTTCGAACGAAATTCGTAGTAGCTGATCGCGTCTAAACCAATCACTTCCTTCGCTATTTTCACGAACACGAAAATATGGACGTACACGACAAAGGAATAAGTGTTCCGTGTCGTTTCCATACTGATTGCATCATATATTGCACGTTACGATCGTGACACATCGCATAAAGTTCGGAAAGAAAGACAAAAACTGTAATATGCCACGTTTATTATCTGCGGCATTGATTATGCAACAAATAGAGCGGCTAAAAGCTTCAGAAATTGTCGCGACATAATAGGATTTGAATTAACGGAAACGGGCGTATTCGAACTATAGCAAAATTCTAAAAATATGGCAGCTACTAATGTAGGATTTTCTATTTCAAAAATAAAATAAAATACAATAAAATAAAAAAATAAAAAGACTGCATAAAAATAAATTTGATTTAAATAAGCAATGTATACATCTTGGTACTAAATAACGCGTATAGGTTAGGAATCTTCAAACGTGCCACGTCCCAGGATAAAGGAGAAGTGAAGGACGAAAAGTAGGGAGGACCGAAAGGTAAGGATACGTGGGGAGAAGGTTAATCTATACGGGAATAGGACTACTAGCGACATAGGAAACTGGGCCACTGAATGAAAAGGGCAAAGGTATCAACAACGAAATTGCATTATCGGTGCAATTATATTAAATACATAGAGTGCTGAATGTGATGTGCAAACTGTTTATCAGCCTATTGGGCAAAACAGAAAACGCCAAGAAGCCAGGCCCGTAAGAATTCCGGAGAACAAGGGTCAAGGTTAAAAGTCTGCGCTATGTCGATGATAGATATAGCATGGTAATCGATATTACCGGCCGTGGCAATGTCGAGGGGGACACAAAAAACCACGAATGAAAACGAAGCTGGAAAAATCTGCATGAGCAATTGATCATGTTACGAGACGTACACGGGGTCAGGCTTACATCACGATAATGATATAACGATTATAGATTATCTAGTTGAACGATACAGGAGGACATTACCAGCCCCAGCCATATTATCCAATGCGAACCGAGCAAAGGATATGGGCTCGCGTGATTTACAGCATTAACCTTGACACTGACAGCAGCGCGCGTATCGTTAATTTACTCGCGCTAGAGAATCATGTTAACACTTTATACTAAATTTAGGCGTTTTTAAAACGTGACCGTTCAAGAAGCTGTTTTATCAATTGTACCACGTTATTATAAATATCGAGTTCCATTCGACACGTCATTGTAGTATACATCAGAAAATACAAAATTATAACACAAAAATACGCTACTGATAAAGGTTTAAATAAAGCTTTTCTCCGATTTAAAAGGAAGAAAAAATACGTAGAAAGATAATAATGCGATGTAACATATTCAGAAACGTTGACCACCCCCACACGTATTAAAGGTTTAACGTGTCCCGGGGTCTATCGAAAACCGCCATCTTGTCTCACGACGTCAAGCACAGTCGAGAGGAAGAGAGAACTCAACGATAGTTTATATCCATTCTTCACGTGACACGCATCCGCATTTGCCGCGCAGGACATCCTACTTTCGTTCTCTATTTCAATATTCACGCACCTGCATTACAAATCTTGCCTGAAGCTCAAGACGTTCCCCGACCGCTGCTACAGCTGCAAGATATTCCTTTTGTCGATTTACTCGCAAATGTTTCATCCCTTTTTCGTTGCCCTCGTATTCGACACGCTCCACCTCACCGTGTAACCCGTAACACATCTCAACTTGGCGTAATTCAACATGTCCGTACGTGGTGTAATGTAGGTTAGTCGCGCAATGCGAAATGAAACTGCGTGTACACGAACAAAACCATGGCACGTAACGCGCACCAGCGAAGAAACCGGCGGAAAAAGCGCGCGCGATACGCGACCAGGAAGGTAAACGCGAATACACACGATAGAACGACAGCACGACGACGATGGGTGATACCAGCAAGTAAGCACACGATCAGAGAGAGAGCACGGACACACACACGGCTGCTTCTTCTCTCAGCGAACGAGTATCGCGACCGACAGGGCTACGAGTCGTGGACGTTTTAACCTTGGCATTGAACTTATGGGAGCTGCCGGGTGAGGTAGGAGAGAGGAGTGGAACACGAGCGACGGAGAGAAGGGAGGGGAGCAGAATGTGGTACGGGCAAAGCGGGGCGCATGGGAAGGAGATTGCGTCATCTCGCGCAAGCCTGTGCGCCGCGCGTCAATACAGCGGGACTGCCTGGCCCTATGGACTAACCTTCATTCCCCTTCCCCGCGCACACAACTCTATCGCGCTCTGTTCTGCACGATCGACAAGCAGCTCCTTCCTGCAAAATCCATCCCGCCTCTTTGCTCCTCACACCAGCTGTAAACCCACGATCTCGATTCTCTTTTACCGTACAATCAGATTAAGCTACGGACCGTTATAGGTGTATTAGGAATTTTATCTCTAAACCGTGAAACATCAAATACTACGCTGTATATACTTCGTGTTTTCGATTCTTTTAGCGTTACGAGAAAAGATGAGAAACACGAGAGACAAAATAAAGCTACATGATGCTGGAATTGAAGGGTCGAAGGAGGTGGTACAGAAGGGAA